AGCCAATCAAATTAGCCTCTCGCTGACTCTCCATTTACTCTTATCTGATTGGTCCAATAAACACATCATACCCAAGACATTAATCTTCATTTAGTTCAGGATCGTTTTTGCTGTCGGAATGGTACTTTTAACATACACATACAGTAAAAAAAACAAAACAACTTAATTAAAACATGATATTTTATACGTTGTGTACCATTAGGCTATGTGTTCATACTGAATTTTGAGCTGTGTAGTTTCCTTCTCTTCCTTAACAGGCTATATGATATATTAGTTTATTGTAATATTACATTGTAATTTTGATGATACTTAAAGAAGGCCTAGTATCTGCACTAGCCTAATACATGCATAATTTCACCTGTCTACTGATCCATTTTTTAAACACAAATTTGGTTCAAGGAGTCTAGCCTAAAGGAACACAGCTTATGAAAGGAGCATGTTTTAATTAAGTTGTTATTTTTAAATAAAAATTGCTACTGTATGTGTACGTTAAAAGTTCCATTCCGACAGCAAGAACGATCCTGAACTAAATGAAGATGAATGTTTACATTTGACGACATGTTCGCTCATCAAAACTCAGCGACCGTCGGGAACTTAGACGACGAAGAAAGAAGAGCACCTGGAAGAACATTCCACATGTTCTTATTTAGTCGAAAGGATCTATGATTTTTCTATGGAAAGCACGAAGGATGAAATCAGCTGGAAGTCGCATGGAGTGGCTTGCAGCGCACCTACTGCACCTACTGTAAGTGGCAGTAATATGAAATAGAAACTGTTGAATAAGGAAGAAAACAATCACAATTTAATATGTAAATAGAAGAATACATAAAAACCAATCACATTTCAGTATGCAAATAAGCGTGACATCATCGCTTACCTGCCAAGCGTTCTGAAAGTGTCAGTGAGAGACTTTGAGGTCAATCCAAGTTTTGAATGGGGTCTTCATAGAGTATTAGGAAAAGAAATATGAGCGTTTTAGTAGTGCATCACTGACTAGAGGTCTATCTGTACTTGTCATGTGAATTTGGCTTATGCATAGTGTACCTGGCGTGTCCAGAGCAAGTCTAGGACAGATCTCACACCACCACTTGAAGGTGAGTGAATGTCTTCTTCATTTCTAATGATACACTGTTCATAGTTTCATTCCAGACATGGAGGGATGTTTTATCGTGATAAATTGTTTCATTCCAGGTACCTCTTGGTCAGCAGAGTGTCATAAGGTAAGGAATTTGTTCTTAAGCAAATGACCAATTATATCAGACCCAAAAGAAACAGAACCTTTTTATGTATATTACCATAGTCCAATTGCATGTCAACAATTGGGGTTTTGCAAATATATTTTTTTAAACTTTGAACCTTCACTACTTTGTCTTTGCCAACAAAAGGTTTCAAATATTAATACAATTTTTTTTTTTTATCTCTGCAAGTGAAATGTTTTTAATAGACGTATTACATATAACTAGACAGTGTGTCCACATAGGTAACTTTAGATGACATATCCTTTGTCTATTGACACTCTTTCAATATTTTGAATATTTTAGTTTGAATATTCTGTGTTCACAGGACGTCTACATTACTCAGTTAGTACAGCGACTGGAAAGTCTGCACATGTCTGCGGTAGTGAACACACAACAGGTATCAGTGTTTCTTCTGTTTCATATGGTGTTACTTGAGCTGCCACTGTAACTGAGGATTATTTTGTTTATATATATATATATATATATATATATTCTTTAAATAAATGTATGCATGTACAGTAACTCCAAGATGTAATAAATGTATTTGTCTGAATGTCATTGCATTAGATGACAACGTATCAAACCAAGTGGCATTTCTTTGAACAAAAATGAATAAACTAATAAAAGAAAGTAAAAAAAATAAAAGTTAATTTCAATGTTTTATAATTTGTGATATTCAGTAACATGTATACATTTGTAAGTAATATGTGTGCAAATTGTATATTTAATTGAAAATCATAAAAAAGTTGAAATGCATTTTATTTTGCAGGTATGTTTGGAAAGCATTTCTAATGGCTGTACGGCACAGGAACCAACCACCTGTTGCAGCCAAACAAAATCATCCCAAGTGTAAGTAGAGACTGACTTCTGACTTCTGACCCATTAGGCATTGCCAGCCAGATGATAGCCATCAGTGTGACAGGGCCATCTAAGTTTAAAGCATTTTGAAATATCAATTCTAATTACGCTGGCAGTGGCAGTACTATTTGCAATAGGTGTTCTGTTACCTACCTATATGTTTTACACTTTGTGTTTAATGTAAAATGAATATATTAGAAATGTAGATGAGGACTTGGCACAGATACTTGCTGTGTTTGCCAGGAATCTTAACCTTTTGTTGAACTGAATGTTGCTTTGTATCATGCTGCAACACTAGACTTCTCTCACTTTGCCAACCTGGAACTGATACTCCATGCCACAATGCTGGGATATCTATTGAAGAGGTTAAATGGCATCTAGAGAAATATTTCTTCTGTAACTGACATTTTTGTGCTAATTTTTTTCAGCTCAAAGCAACATCATAAAACCCAGTTAAGGATGCTGTCTCACAGATGGCAGAGGCTTGGTCTTCAGCCTCCAATCCTCTGGGACACACAAGAACACATTTCTCAACATAAACCTGATGTAGAAACCAGACCAGAATTGGAAATCCACCCCATACAGGTCAGCCGCATTGTTTCTCCAAGGAACGAACGACCAGATGAGATCAAGACAATCAGTAATTCCCTTTGTAGCAGATCCAATAATGAACCATCCATATCAGTTGAATCTGAAAACAGTGACCTCTCTGACCAAGAGAAAGACAATAAACCTATATTAAAATGGGAAACTGCTGTAGAATTGGACCCGAGGCCGGACTTATTTGATAGAGATCTAGAACCTACAGTGACTGGAGGAGAGCAAGTGTATCCTGAGGTTCTTCCATTTCCACTTAAAGATCTCGACTTTAGTCAATTCCAATCCACAGCAGATGATTTGGAGAGCCAGCACAACTTGTGTTTAACCGACCCTTGTCTCACAGCTATGGCTGCACGCATGATAAAACTGGAGAAACTTCAGACTGCAACTATACAGAAGGAACAAGGGAAAGCGGTGAGATCTCGTCCAGCAACTGCTTTAGTTCGAAGCGCCAACCGTCTGAGACGTGTAGAAAGCCCTTGTTCTCAGGTAGAACACTTGAGGACTAAAGGCAATAATTCAGTTTTAGATGTAGTAACAAAACTCGCCCTTTCTTCAAGCTCTCATTCAAAGTCTATTCATCATAATAATCGCCCATCGCCAAATGCTGGAAAGGTGTGGATTGGATTTCAGCAACCACCGGCTTTACCTAAGAAACCACACTCTGGTGTGGTAAAATTAAAGAAGACCTGATGCCCTTGTTCAAGATCTTGTTGTTCATTCAAGCATGTCACAAAAATGCAGTAGTCCAAATAGCTTGAAAAGATGCAAACCCTCAAAGAAAGCCATGCCTAAGTCTCAGAAGACTTCTTCTGAAAAGACTAGTGTTCCTGCTAAAGCGCTTTGCAGGAAAACATGATCTAATTATTTTTAAGGGTTTTAAGCTTTAAGATTGACAGTGTGTAATTACCTGTGTGCATGTTACTGTATTTAATCTTCCAAATTCAATACAAGTTGAGCTCCATCAACAAAATTTGTGGCATGCTGTCAGTTACCGCAGAAAAATAACTTGAGTTTTGGGAAAAAAACATCTTACACAGTAACCCAAAACATTTATTCAGTAGCTCTTTGATTTTTGTGGGCTTTGGGCTGCTTTTTATTGATACAGACAAGTGATAAGGAACTCGCGCTAACCACATGCAGCAAAACTAACTGGAATAGTATTATCTAAATATATAAACACTTCAAAATGAAATGAAACCAGACATTAATAAATTCACCATTTATTAATATTCTTGTGCAATATTGGCTGTATAATCTGATACAAAATGAACATATTGTTATGCTGTGTACAGATGTTGGTAATTTCCCCCTTGAGTGGATAAGAAGATGAGCTCTTGAAAGGCACTTCAATAATAGAGTAGGACAGCAGCTGGCCATCAGGGTCTTTCTCACACTTGGAATCACACGTGGCCATGACAGTATGGAAAATTTTAACACTTACCCTGAAAATAGAATTGAAAATGGTTAGTTGTGGTTCAAGAACGGTTACTTTTGTGGGCGACATGCAAACATGTATTTCTTAAAAAGGAAAAGCATTACCTTTTGGTTGATAAATCTGGAATGTGTAATACCAGATTGTAACAATTTTTATGTACGTTGAGTCAATTTATTTTAGAAACCTGCATTGTGTGTATATATATATATATATATAGTAACACTATATATAGTGTTTGAATTATAAGTATGAATTGCTTATAAATTGCAAATTTAGGTGGTATATATATTGGGTTTAGGCAAAAATTATTTTATACTGTATAAATACATTTAGATTTGACTAAATTATTTAAAAGCAGAATCAGTAACTGTCAAATTTTATCATAGGCTAAATGAGGAACTACTTATTCAACCACATACTGTATTATCAGCTTAAAATCAACAGCTTAATACTTGTAAAAGCTCGCTCTAAAACAGAAACCTTTTTTCAGATGAGATTTCCTTTAAGAGTCTTCTTTAACAGACCGCACCTACAATACAAAGAATAAATATACCAGTATCTTGGTACATTACAGAAAGTACACATTCTTGAAATATCCTGGAGAAATACACACTCATCAGCTGACACCCAAGGTGACTAAATCTGTCCATTTTTTTTAGGTCTTGAATATAAAACGGTCCAAGAACGAACCTCTGTGGTTCACACCAATGGATAAAGTCAATGCAAGGTCCTCACAAAGCTGAATATGGATAAGTTATTCTGTGATCAGACCAATAACAACACTGGTACATAGAAAAAAAAAAAAAAAAAAAAAAAATCATGTATAAAAAGTTCATTTATAAAATAAAAGGGTTTTAATACAGGAAAATATACAGCTGCCCTTATATTTAAGAAAAGGGCCCCTATCATTAAATTTGGGGTCTGAAAACCCATTGTTTGCTGCCAAATTCATTAATGCCATAATATCTACAGCCCTAAAAAGCTGGATTAGAAATTAGACAATTAATACTACACATGAGATGGGAACATTAATCCTATGAGAATTAGCCTCTGAACTGGCTGTTCATTTCTAATCAGAGCTTTGCTTTGTGTTGGATCTAAACATGCCTTTAGGAGTGACCTGGATAAAGGGCCTTGAAGATGTCTCATCCTTTTGAAAGCAGAGGCAGGCAGGAGGATGATGGACAGACATGTCTCCATTGGCCAGAGAATATACTCGAACACAAAGAAACAGTGGGAGAAACAGCACAAACAGCAGTTAGTTTTGATGAAACAAAACCCACCATAAGCTTCCTAAAATGCTGAATAATGTTCTTACAGTGTTATGATTAACTTGCATGAAATTCTTGAAAGACGGACAACTTGTGGGAAGTTTAAATTCATGTTTTTTTCACCACAAAACAGCTTTATTTTTATATTGTTTAATGATAACAAATAATGCGAATTTACAGTAAATTCAAATTATTCCATTATCATGCAGGACAGGCTTTGCAAAAATAACAGGCAGATAATTCTTCCAGCATACGTTATGACCGTTGTATAGATTTGGAACACAAGGAATTGAGATATGAATAAAGAAGCAATTACCGCTTGTAACAAGCAGATTCATAGATCAGAGCAGGAAAACCCCTGTATCAAAAGACAACATTGTCACAAACACAAGAACAGTCACAAAAAATACATCTAAATAGTCTACGCATAGTGAAAAGCACACCAGAGGGTTTGTACAGTAGTGCATTGGAAGCCATACATATAACATATTCTCATGCATATTGAAAAACACTCAATAGATTATGCAAAAACTATGACGCATAAGTGTGACAACTCTGAAAAAGGTGAAGTATGTCTATCAGAAGGCAGTACACTGAAGGTGCTTGGTCCATTAAAAATACTTGGATTCACCCTTACCCTCAATGTCTACCGTAACCGGTTCCTTCCATTTTTGAGAAAGTGATAGTCAGTCTTTTCATTCATACCGACTGTTTTGTCTCTGTGAGAAACACCACAATAGAAGCTCTGTTCCAAAATCTAGTGAAGCTGCCTCACTGCCTACTGCATACTAAGGCAGCGCCCTCAAAAGTGAACATTTTGGAATGCTCTACGTAGGTTCACGACTGCAATACTCTATCTAACATAATAAAATAATGAAACATAATAAATATAAAAAGTCATACAAAATTTGAGTCAAATAGTTTTTAATTTTACACTTTTTAATAATAATTTTCAGTATTGTGCAAACGTATAGGGTCAGTAAGTACATTCATTCAGAAAGGTTGCATTAAAGACAAGGACATTTATAATATTACAAAATATATATTATATTTCAAATAAATGCTGTTCTTTTGAACTCTCCATTCATCAACGAATCCTAAAAAAAAGGGTGTCATTGTTTCCATATGCTTAATAAAAAATATTAAGCAGCACAATTCTTTTTTAACACTGAAAATAATAATAAATGTTTCTTAAGGACTGAATCAGCATATTAGAATGATTTCTGAAGGATCATGTGACAGCAAAGACTGGAGTAATGGCTGCTGAAAATTCAGCTTTGCTATCACAGGAATAAATTACATTTTAAAATATATTAAAATAGAAAGCAGTTATTTTAAATTGTAATAATAATTCATAATACTACTTTTTTTAACAAATAACAAAATTAAAGACCCCACACATTTGAAATATAATAATATAATATAATATAATATATCTATGATGCCTCACTAGGTTTTGGTACAGAGCAAAAGGGTGACAAAGGGTTTCAATGCATGTCCATTTCTCCAAATTACATTCTGTAAACATGCAGGAGAAGCCGAAAGGGCTTTATGATAGATTATTTTCGGGCTTGAAAAGAATGCAAAATGTTGATGCCGTTTGTTTTGGAAGGATTAGCTTACCTTCAGTGTACCGATAGAGGTGTACAACCTGCCTTTACAGAGGAGGCTTTCCCTGCAGACCAGGTCAAGCAGGACCCAAGACCTCAGATTCAGCAGAAACACACCTAGGGCAAGGGGCATGCCATGGGCCTGCACGCCAGGTTGAGTTCTCACTCTCACACCTAAGGGAGGGTGGATATAGACAGCATTTATGCTGGTCTTACTTATGTCACACTCTAAACCAGGGCTGTCCAAACTCGGTCCTGGAGGGCCGGTGTCGAGTTTGGACAGCCCTGCTCTAAACAGTCCTTGGTGGTTGAGTAATATTTCGTTTACATAAAATTCTAGAATCTTACATAAAATATAAGGTCTGTGAACTTAGCACACAAATGGATATTTTTACATTCTGAACATTGAGCATAATATCAAATATATTTGAAATTATTATTAGCAAGAAGCTGTGTATAAAGCATGCAATGCGAACAATATAATTTCTTGAAAGATTTTTTGTTTTCTGAAAGATTTACAGCTTACAGGATGTCTTGTAGGTCATCTAATAATAATAAAATAAAGTAAATCTTGATTGTGTCCTGCTCTCCGTACTACAAATCAGAGACTAAAATAAAATAGCATGGCAATAAAATATACAAACATCTTTTGTTGTCTGAGTCATATCTGTAGATACAAAACCATCATTAATCTCTGAGGTACGCTGCTGATCATATCCTCTCCTGGATGAAAGGATGCTGTAATGCCTGATTGATGGTGATCCGCTTGGCAGGATCCAGCATCAGAATTTGGTCCAACAGATCTTTGAGCTGAACAACCTTCTTTCGCTGGTCCTCTGGTAGCACCTGGCGACCCACCATGTCCATCGACAGGTCCTTAGCTGGGTTAATGGTACTCATGACCGTGATCTTTTCCTGCAGAGAAAGAGACATAGGTGTAGAGGGGAAGAATGAGAAAAAAGTGAAAGGTAAAAAAATGGATTTAATTAGCCTGAAGTAATTTATACAGATATTTCTCAGTTATAAAATTAGGGCTGCACGATTTTCTTAAATACAGTATTTTTTATTTTACAGTGAAATTGCAATAGTGATATTTATTGTTTAATATTTGTATTTAGTAATAACTATTCATTTATTATTATTATTATATAGTGAAGCCAAAAGACAAATGTCTTTTAAATAAGAATATTTAAGATAATTAAAATAAGATAATTTTCCCCCACAAATCATGCAGCCCTATTTTCATTTTTTAAAGTGAATGGAATATATAACATTTACCCTCTCAGTGACCTTATCGACCTCTGTATACAAAAAGTTCAAGTTTTGGTCAAAGTGCTGGTCCTTGAACAGACCCTTCCTGATCATCTGTAAATATCAAAAAATATTTTATCTATTTTTTAATACATTTTGTTTTAATTCCTAATATCTGATGAATTCTTACTTTATTAGGCAGTTTTCCTTTCAGGTCCATGGCAAGTTTTAGCATGTGGTTATTTGTCTTCCCAGGGAAAAGGATTTTTCCTGTGTATAGTTCATAGAGAGTGCAGCCCACAGACCACATATCGATTCCGTAATCATACGACTTTCCGATGACTGCAAAAAGAGGAAGAAAAACTCTTAAAGCCTAAACAAGCATTACCCAATTTCAGATGGGTTTATTAAAACTCTTTTTTTTTCAGATGGTTTCATTTGATTCCTTAAGTTTTTACTTACTGATCTCAGGTGCCCTGTAAAACCGGCTGACCAGATATGGTGTTATGTCATTGTCAGCCACATGTGATGCTGAGCCAAAGTCGCACAACTTGAGGATGGTCTTGGATTCGTTCACCTTTAGAGTATTAAATACGTTTATATAATAAGACAGAGATGGAAGTCAGTGTTCAATATTTATGGCACAAGAATTGTGGCTTACTAAAATGTTGTCGGGTTTGATGTCAGCATGCAGGATGTTGCAGCGCTTGAGGAGTTTGAGGGCCAGGAAAAGCTGCTGGCTGTACGAACGCACAGCCTTGATGTGTAGCCCAACGTCCTTGCCATATTTCCTCAACACCTCCCGTAGGTTCATGCTGAAGCCAGAAAAAAATTACTTTAAAGGATTAGTTGACTTCCAAAATGAACATTTTCTGATAATTTACTCATCCCCATGTCATCCAAGATGTTCATGTCTTTCTTTCTTCAGTTGAAAAGTAATTATGTTTTTGAGGAAAACAGAGGATCGTGTAGAGCCCTTTGAAACGGCAATTCCGGGAATGTTTTTCTCAAAAACCTTAATTTCTTTCTGACTGAAGAAAGAAAGACATGAACATCTTGGATGACATAAGGGTGAGTAAATTATCAGGAAATGTTTATTCTGGAAGTCAACTAATCCTTTAGGAGAACAACTCAAGCTGCATTGATGCATGTGAATCTGTTGACTGTAATGTACCTGAGTGGTTCGAACACCAGACACAGATGCTGCTTGTGATAAAAGTGCCTAAAGAGCCGCAAACAGTGGAACTTATCATCTGCATCGGCGTCATTCAGTTTCTTCAGTAACTCCAGCTCTTTGAGTCCAGTCTTTTGCCTGTGGGAGAAAACATGTGGCCTTCGGTCACATAAAGACCACATCTACACCTACTCTAAATCTCAGTTCCTATCCAAGTAAATCCCTATGACACAATTTATTTGAGAACATTAAAACTGTGGACGTAACCAACACCACACATTGTGGTTTGATCAGAAATCCAACTGTACCAGACGGGAAGTGTCTTACATCATCTCATTGTTGCGTATTATTTTCACTGCCACTTCCTGATTGGCTCGGGCCAAGTCTCTGGCTCGGATCACATTACTGAAGACACCCTGACCAGTGTAGCCATACACCCCGTACCGTTTGTCCAACACCTCGCCAATGTTCACACCTGAATACATTAAAAGAACAATCACGTTTTTGATGTCCTCTTTAACATGAAACCTAAGATATTTTTCAATCTTATAAACACGTTTTGGATTCTATAGATTTAAATACAGTATTTGCTTCAAGACAACTGACTTACGGTAATAGCCTTCTGCATCTGTCCAGTTATCTCTGAGACTTGGGTTCTCCTTGAAGTCCTTGCCAATGCCTGCGGCCCGTAACCTGGCACTCTGCGGAGAGAGATTAGATGTGGATTTGTCACTGTCAACATGATTGAATTCAGAGAGTTGATTAAAATGTTCATTCATGAACGAGTGACTGACACTGTAAGAGACCATTTCAAAGTCTGAGGGGCCTCGAGATCCAGTGAGCACCAGAGTCAGATTACCCACTTGGGGAAAAAAGCTTTGAACAAAGTTTCCAGTACAGCAACAACAGCTTGCACAGGACTATGCAACTCTACCTGTAGAGATCCCCTTACATGGACAAATTCAATCAAATTCTGGGGCTTGCAAAGCCATTGACCTATGCAATGGAGAGCAGGAACTTGGCTACTCACGTCAAAGTAAGCAGCGAACATGTCATCTGACTCTGTGAACATATCTGGCGCTGGTGGCTTTTTCAGATTAGCACCTAAAGAAAAAGAACAATGATGCAATGAAAGGAACGTAGACTTGCTGATAACGTATTAGACCACCTTGCATTACATGAAAGTAAATGTTTCATGTCTCAAATTTACAATGACTCTCCTTTTTGTCTTCCTAAACAACTGATATGAGAGCCATTTTAGACTTTATACTGACACCTGTTGGCATGGATGTAGCATCAAGCAATTGTTAATAGTTAACTAGTGCTGTCTCAGAAATATATTTGCAGGTGTATTTATTATATGTTATAAACTAATACAATGCGAAAATGTTACATTTTTAAATAGATTATTGGGAAGCAAAAACATTTCGCAATTTTATGATCACTCCATATGAATTGATGAATAGTCGTGAGCACTCACTCACTGGTCATGCGATCTCAACATGAGCGGGGACCACCTTTTGCACAATATAATAGTTTAATCTGTTTTTCTCATGTATGTGTACATCATTTTATACATGATTGTCAAACCTAATTTGAACAACTTCTTAATGTGGAAAGTGCACTTTTAATTGAAAGATATTTTGCAGATGACATACCATCTTTTTCTTGAGAGACAAGACTATGCTTGGCTTTCACATTATCCTCAAATGTGTTCAGGTTCTCTTGCTCGTAGGCTTTGACATCAGCAGCCACACGCTCAAGGATGTCATCGGGAGATGGCGATCGGCTGTGAGTGCTACTCTGAGGACTGCCATGTTCTGAGAGTCCTGACATGTTACTGTCCTCATTTACTGGCTTATACTTCTGTACAGGACACAATACAAATGCAATCACATTACATACTCTACCGTTCAAAAGTCTGGGGGTTGGTAACATGTAACCTGTGTAAACTGTGGTACATTTTTATTTATGATTAATTGATTAATGGAATGTTTAAAAGAAAATCATTTGTGACCCTGGATTAAGTCGCTGGGGTATATTTGTAGCAATAGCCAAAAATACATCGTATGGGTCAAAATGATTGATTTTTCTTTTATGCCAAAAATCATTAGGATATTAAGTAAAGATCATGTTCCATGAAGATATTTAGTAAATTCCCTACCGTAAATATATTCAAACTTAATTTTTGATTTGTAATATGCATGGCTAAGAATTCATTTGGACAACTTTAAAGGCGATTTTCTCAATATTTAGATTTTTTTGCACCCTCAGATTCCAGATTTTCAAATAGTTGTATCTCGGCCAAATATTGTCCTATCATAAACCATACATCAATGGAAAGCTTATTCAGCTTTCAGATGATGTATAAATCTCAATTTCGAAAAATTTACCCTTATGACTGGTTTTGTGGTCCAGGGTCACATTGATTGGCAATAGAAATCTTTTGTAGCATTATAAATGTCTTTACTGCCTCTTGTGATCCCTTTAATGCATCCTTGCTGAATAAAAGTATTTATTTCCTCCTCAAAAAAAAAAAAATCGTATTTATCCCAAACGTTTGAACATGTACGGCAAAAACAAAGTAAAAGCTATACAAGAGATTAAAATATTCTAACCTGCACGATAGCCAAGCGCTGAAGTCTCCTCTGTTCTATCAATGCCTCCTCGTCCTCTTCATCAACGTCATAATCCTCCAGCCTAGACACAGATTAGTATTCATAATTAAGTCCAAATATGATCAGAAACATAAAAGCAAAACATAATTTTCATTAATACTCACACTTCATCATCCGAGTCCTCCTGCTCAGGCTTCATTCCTTCAGACAGACTGCCCTTAAACATGTCCTCTCTT